GAGAGACACACACGGAGGCGGCAGCCTGGACCTCGCGCTCGGCCGCAAGGCCGCGTTATTCTCTGGCCCTCGTCGCCTGCAACACTCGCCCGACATGAACTTTAGCCCGCTCCCTCGTGTCGCCGCCCTCCGCAGGCTCAACGTCCGAGCTTTGTCCCCCGTCACTCTCCTCTCATTTCAGACCCCACACATGCGCATAGCTGTTCGCGCTTCCGACCAATGCAGGCGCCTTGCCTCACCCCTCTCACGGGCGGCCCCCATTCTCTCTGCTCTGCAGGACGCGCGCCGAGAGAGGCGCTACATGGTCGACTTCAATGAGAGCGAGGGCGAGTCGGCTTTCTTGGTTGTGAGATCAACAAAGGGCGTCTGGTTCGACAACCCCCACGTGTTCCATCGGAGCCTCGCAAAGGTGCCAATAAGCTTTTGTTTCGCGGAGGGGGCCCAGGTTCAGACCGAGCTCGGGCCAACGGCTTCCGTCAAGGTCGGTGGCTACTTCGCTTCCAGTGCGGAGTATGAGGGGTGGTATCAGCGCCGCCGCGCGAGCCTGACGCTGCCGCCTTCGCTCGGAGCTGAGGTGCGCGCACTTTTACGCCAGGATCGGCATTGTCCCTGCGGTGTCCCCGTCTCCAAACAGTTACGTTTCTCCCTCACGCAGGCGTGCGGCGTCAACAACGACGTCGTTGTGAAGGAGGAGGCCGCCACCGAGGAGGCCGCCTCCGAGGAGGCCGCCGCCAAGTCCGCCGCCGCCGAGGAGACCGCCGCCGAGGAGTGCGCCGCCGAGGAGTCCTCCACCAAGTCCGCCGCCACCGAGGAGGCCGCCGTCGCCGAGGAGGCCGCCTCCGAGGAGGCCGTCGTCGCCGAGGAGTCCTCCACCAAGTCCGCCGCCACCGAGGAGGCCGCCGTCGCCGAGGAGGCCGCCTCCGAGGAGCCCGTCGTCGCCGAGGAGTCCGCCACCGAGGAGGCGACCATCAAGCCCGCCGCCGCCGAGGTGTCCGCCTCCCAGGAGGCGCCCGTCGCCGAGGCGCCCGTCGCCGAGGAGGCCGTCGCCGAGGAGGCTGCCAAGGAGGTCGAGAAGCCGGCCAAGACCGTTTCCAACCCGCCCGACCCAGCGGTGAGCGCGCTGCAGCATTCTCTCCTGGCACTCCTCGCTCTCCCACCGGTAATAATCTCCCTTCCCGCGCTTGCAGGACACCACCTGCTACCCGGGCCTGCCCACGCCGATGGCGGCGGGGAAAAGCGGGCCCGCGTCGGCCCGCAGCAGCTTCGGACCGGGCTACGTGGACGGCGTCGAGGCTGCGGTCCGCCGGCTGGGCGAGAGCGTCAGCTACCAGGCTACGCCCGCCGACGGCAACAAGTCGCCGTCACCGGGAGTCCCCACCTCCGGCGGCATTGCGCCCGTGGCGCCCAAGCCCCTTGGCGCTGAGGCCGAGGCCGCCAAGGAGCGCGAGCACTGGGAGGGGCGGCTCAAGAAGGCGAAGGCCGCGCTCGATCTCATTGCCGAGCGACAGGAGAAGTGGGCGGACTTGCAGTCGCGGCGCTCGGGGAGGTGCCGGCGCAAGGCCATGCGCTGCCGCAACAACCCCAAGTTTGGCAAGGCAAAGGGCAGGCGCAAGTCTGGCAAGGCAAAGGGCCGCGGCCGCGGCTCGCACCGGCGACCGAAGCCGCGCGGCGGGCCGCAGACGCCGCCTTCGCCGGACCGGCGCCGCGAGCCGCAGACCACGTCCGGCAAGGCGCCATTCGCCGTTGGCACGTGCGGCGCCGGCGCTGGCACATGCGGCGCCGGCGGCCGCGCCGGCCTCAAGGCGGCGGCCGACTGCGGGCTGGGGCAGCGGGCGCCGCGCTCCGGTGCGGCCTCGGGGCAGCGGCCCAGCAAGGCGGTCCGTCCTCGGCTGAGCAAGAGTCTCGGCTCGGTGGCCTTGCTCCTGCTGATCTCCGCCCTCCCCGTGGCTCGGGCTGGCTCGGGCGAGGCTGGCTCGGGCGAAGCTGGGTCTGGTGAGCAGGGCTCCGGACTTTGGGGGGTGCCGCCGTCGCTGCCGCCTCTGTCTCCGCCGGTGCTCTGCGAGGACGGTTCGGACTTGATCGCGCTGCTCTGCCCTTACGCCGGGACGCAGCTGGGCTGCGACACGGACCTGAACACCGTCAACCCCGCCGCTCCGGTGGGCTCGACCATCTCGCTGATCTGCCCGGAGAGTTGCGGCGCGTGCGAGTCGGAGGTGAGCACTCCACCATCGCCACCATCGACGGTGCTCTGCGAGGACGATCCGGGCGGCTTGCTCACCGCTTGGCTCACCGCCCACCTCGGCGGCTGCTCCTTCTTATCGTCGATGGGCTGCGACACGGACCTGAACACCGTCAACCCCGCCGCTCCGGTGGGCTCGACCATCTCGCTGATTTGCCCGGCGAGCTGCGGCGCGTGCGAGTCGGAGGAGATCACTCCACTATCGCCACTGCTTGTGGCGGCGTTGCTGTGCGAGGACGACTTTTTTGGTCTCGCGGCCAGCGTCGGCGGCTGCACGCTCTTCTTGACGTTCGGGTGCGACTTCGATCTGCACACCGTCAACCCCGGCGCCGCTCCGGTGGGCATGCTCGTCTCGCTGGTATGCCCGGCGAGCTGCGGCGCGTGCGAGGAGCAAGCGCCACCGTCCCCACCGCTACTCCCGCCGCCGCCGCAGCTGCGTCCGGCTCGTCCGCCGCTGCTTCCAACCCCCGCTGGCGAGGTCCTCGCCCTCACGCCTCAGCACATGCAGGACGAGATCAACAAGGCCGTGGCCGAGAACCGCAACGCGATCGTCTACGTCCCGCCGGGCGCCCGCCTTGCCTTTAGCAGCAACGTCTATTGCAGCAGCGAGATGCACCTCTCGGTCCGGAGCAGCGGGGGGGGCGCGACGCTCGACGGCAAGAAGAGCTCCAACATGTTCTACCTTTCGGGCGGCTGCAGCCTCTACCTGGAGGCGCTGCACTTTGTGGA